CTGGTAGGGTTAGATTAGGCTAACCTAAGCCTAACCTAAGCCTAACCCGACCTGAACGCTTTGTCTTTAAAACTGATTTTAAAGTCGCTTTGATGACTGAAGCAGTTGCTTTGTGATTTTCCTGTCAGTCGCCTGAGCTGTAAATTCGACACGAATCATTTGAAACGTGATAAAAGCAGCACATTGGCCTCCAGCTGTTGGACAGAACCGGGCCGAGGCCAGAACCGGAGCGCCGGTCTTGTTTCTGCTGCAGCGAAGCAGCAGCGTGGCAGCCTGTTGTCCAGTCGATGTGTGAGCGCCCCCAGCCCTCTTCCCCTTTAACCAGTATAGAAAATATGCCAAAAACCTCCTTTGTTTTTGTACTGGACCCTCATCGGCGCCGTCGGCTGTTTGGATCCGTTCAGCTTTTTTTACTCGACCTTCGAACAGTGACGAGCTGTGATGAACACTGCCTCAACTACAAGCCGTCTCACGTCAGGTTTTGTCTTCGTTGCGTCGTTTTGTGACAGAAATGCGACGCCTCCGTGAAACTACAACACTCCGACTGTCGGCGGACCCGCAGGACCCAAGCCGGTTCTGCTCGGTCTGTCCGTCTCGCTCGTCTTCCTGCTGGTCCGGAGGCGTCTCACTTCCTGTCGGACTCATCGTGTTCTCACCTGTCGGCCGCCTGCTGATGCACAAACATGAACAAACGGTGAAAGATGCCTTTTATCAGAAGAGAAGCAGGACAGACCTGATCTGGTCGGAACCATATCGGGTCTGAACAGAAGCAGCAGACCGAAGGATTAGAACCAACTGCTGGAAATTACCCGTTTATGAAACTTTGTTTGTCGTGTCGACGCGTTCAAAGACTCTGATCGCGTTGCGTTCAGGTGATCGATGGATTGTTTGTCTGAAGTCGACTCTGCTGCTACGAACACTGAAGCGGCTGAAGTCTGAGCACCTCCAGAACCTTCAACCAGCCACCGGTCAGCTGGTGGTGTCGGCTGAGGACAAACATTTAAAACATTCAGTTCTGTCGCATCAAAGAGCCGCGTTTCTCCATTCAGACAGAAAACAATCTGCTGAGAGTTGGTTCTGGTTCTTCTGACGTCCTGAAGGTGCACAGACCTCAACGCTTCATCTGCTGGAGGCTCCACAACGTCATCACTTCCTCCGTCACCAAAATGCACAATTCATTGAACAGATCTGCTCCTCGTCAGCTCAGAGTCTGGAAGCGACTGAAGTCCTGCAGGTTCGGTTCAGTGGGTCCAGTTCCTTTTATGAAGTGAAACGTTCAGAGGAGGTTCAGAACAGTTCGACCTGAGCTCAGATCTTCTACGTTCAAACGTTCCTTCATTGTTTCAGATGTGTTCTCGGAATCAGCCGCCGACATTCACACGAGTTTGTTCTTTCACTGAAACAGAAATCCAGTGAATGTGCAGCTGCGGTTCAGATCCACGTCTGAAACACCGAGCGTCGTTTCGTGTCCAACCAGAACAAACATCTGCAATAATTCAGACGTGACGCCGGCGTCGTTACAGAATAAACCCTGAAACCAGGATGTTCACGGCTGAGCTGCCTCTGGGTGAGCGTAGAGGAGGAATTTTAACGGACACGTTACCGCTGCAGGTTGTTGGACTGAACCAGGTGAATCCAGACCGACTTCCAGACTCTGAACCTGCCGACAAACAGCAGAGACTTTGTGCCCGACTGCCTTTACCAGAATAAATCATGATGGGTTGCGTGAATGTGCCATGTGATGCATATCGGTAGAAGGATCCATATCGACGCCCGTCCCAACCTCCTCATCCGTTTCTAGAAATCTTCTCCGGGAGAAACTGTGCAGTGCTTAAACAGATCTATTTTAATACACGACACAACATTTGAACAAAAAGAACATTTTTATATTCTTTTATGGAGAAGGAAAACAGGACATTTGGGGTTTTCTATTCTGTTCTGCATTCTGACTTTAGCTCGCAGCGTTCGATGTTTTCTTTTGCCACGAGAGGCGACGACACGACGACGGTGTTTAGATGGAAGATAAATGTCTGTTGGCTGTGGATAGAAGTTTCTTTGTCATTGGTTCGGGGACTGTCCAGTGGATAGTGTGTATAGGAAAGTGTTTGTCTTAAATATGCCAATGTAGTTTTTCTTCTTTATGATGCATTAAACAGCTGATTGATGAAGCTGGTCAGTGGTTAAAGAATAGTCTCACTTTTTGTACCAAGTTCTTAAGAAAAATGGATCATTAATAAACAAATTCAAGAACAAAAGCTCGACTCCAAGCTGCTTCTTTGCCACAAACATTTCTGCACATTTAATGAGATTAAAAGTTCAAATTTCAAGAATGGTAAATGGTAAATGGTCTGCACTTATAAAGCACTTTTCTACCTTTGCGGCACTCAAAGCGCTTCACAATGTTTCTCATTCACACACATTCACACACTAATGGCGACAGAGCTGCCATGCAAGCTGCTGCCTGCCATTGGGAGCAACTTCAGGTTCAGTGTCTTGCCCAAGGACACTTCCACTGTGGAGGGGATGGAACCACCAACCTTACGGTCAGAGGACAACCGCTCTACCACCTGAGCCACAGCCGGCTGTGAAGTTAACGTAACTCAGGAATCATCTTAACGTCTGTGATAATCTGGACGTTTTCCCGCCGATAACAAATAAAAACTCGTTGTTTCTGAGAAAAGTTGGCGACATCTAGTTTTACAGGCTCTATGAGCAGATTTAGACCTACGTGACCTGTTCAGAGTTTTCAATATTCATTTTTAAGAATTGATTGTATTCAATCAGAAACTTTATATTTTGGTCGTTTTTCTGACCTTTGATTAAGTTTCTTGTTTTTGGATCTCCGATTCTGACCCAGTTCATCCCGTCTACGTCCTGGAGGTTTACACAGCGCTTTGACCATGAATGTACACACTGAGCATGCTCAGACCGTCTGCAGGTCAATGACATCACTTATCAATGTCTGTCACACTTTGACCTTTCTACACCTGAGGAGGAAACGTCTGATACAACAGGTTACCTGTTCTACCTCGATATTGATCTCTCCTTTATCCGAC